GTAATTTTCTTGGATTGTAATATGTATATTGCTTTATTTGTTCATCTTAAAATATTTTACTATTAAATTCATTTCCAAAGTATTCATGAAAATTAACATGAATCTGAAGACGTGCTGCTGTAATAGGGCCGACATATATTTAGATAAAATCAAACTCTTTATTTCTAATGTGTTCCACATACCTTAAGATATGTTAATATGTTTAGAACTTTAGATTTGTTAATATCTTAAGAAAAAAGTAGTTCTCTTTTTTCGCCGATTCTTACATTTTCCATTCATTATCATACATAAATCGGTGTGAAGAGATGAATAAGACGTTTTAAACTTCATTCTGTTGGGTTAAACCGCGATATTTTGGCATTTAATCACTCAAGCGCCTTGTCCGGTATATACCGGAATACGGTTTTTAGTGTGGTACTCCAATCTCTTTTTTTAGTCTCTGAGTTTGTGTACAAAATATCATAAATTTCAAATATCTTATAAGGTGGAATGCTTTGGTCAACAGTCTTCATATTTGGTATTGAGGCTGATTATGACTAGTAGATGATCCTTATTGATTTTGAGGTCACTAGGTAAAAGGTCAACGTAAAAAGGGCATTGACTAAAAAAAATTTGCGCCCAAAATCTTAAGAATCCTTTGACCTACAGACTCTTATTTGGCATGGATTCTAGATCATGACCATTAAGTGAGCCCTATTAATTTTTTAGTCACTGGGTCAAAGGTCAAGGTCACAGGTGCCTTTAGTTCAGAAAGCTGGTCTGCTAAATTGCTTAAGAATGCTTTAGTTATGACTAGTAGATGACCCCTTTTGATTTTTAGATGACTGTGTCAAAGGTCAAGGTCACAGGGGCTTTAACTACAATAAGCTTGTCTGCTCAAATACTTAAGAATGCTTGTCTTCAGTGTATTGACTGACATTTCACACTTGAAGCATAATTATGTAATCTCATATATTCATCATAAAACACTCCCCAGACAAAGCTGCATGAATGTGTGGATTCAAGTCCTGCAGTGGCAGTTTCAGTTTTGTAGTCAGTAGGTCAAAGGTCAAGGACACTTTGATCTTTTCCACTAAGACATGTAGAATATATAAATTAGAAATGCACTGGCTTACCACCATCATATTTGGCAGGGAGGTTCTCGTTGAGCTCTAAATCACCACTGTTGATTATGACAAAGTGGGATACGGGGGTATTTACGCCATGACAGTGGCAGTTCTAGTTTCATGCAGTACTCCGATATTCATAAGACCTGTATTGTGATATATCTAGAGTATTAAGATATACCTATCTTTCTAAGTGAGTAATGTGTAGTCAGTGATATCAAATAATTCATTGGTAACAAACAACAACGACAACAACATTGACGAAAATAACAAAAACAAGAACAGAAGCAACTGAGCAGAAACAACAAATAAATAAATAAATAAATAATAATAATAATGATAACACAATTACTATGATTAAAGGAATAATATTAACAACAACAACAACAACAACAACAACAACAAATACGACAAGAACATCAGAAGCAACAACAGAGGTAGTAAAGATAGTTACAATAATAACTATGATTACCGTGCATATCCAGTAACGCACGAATGTGCAAATAACGTAAAAGTAACGCCGAATCTGTGCAACGATATTGCCGAAAAGAATAACACAGTAAGTAAAAGAACCACATATCTTATTCTTGATAAAATTTACAGGAATGAATTAGCGCATACGGCTGCTACAACATTATACTTTAACCACCATTACATTTTTTTCAGTAATATGTTTACTTCTTTAGATCATTCCTGAGAAAGTCAACCTGATGACCGTTTTGAAGGTGGCTGTGTTTCGTCAAATAGATATTTATATTTAACACATTTAAAACAGTATTTTTTATATTCTGTATAGTGACTACCCAAGACATTTGTCAAAATACAAGTGCCGTAAAACAATAGATGGAAGCTGGTAAAATAGGTTTTAGCTACTTTTAAAGCAGCACGCCTCCAGATTTATGTTAATTTTCATGAAATTTTTTAAAATATGTTTAAACGTATAATAATGTATAGTGACCAAAAGAAAGCAATTTACACCTAATAAATTGCATTTACAACTCACTTAAAGCAGTACGCCTCCAGATTCATGTTAATTTTCATAAAAAATTGAAAAAGTATCTAATAATGCAATTTAGCGTTATCAATGGCACTTACAGCCCATGTTAACTAACATAAAGAGGTCAAAATATGCAAAAATAGCCCTTACTGCGTTAGTAACGCAGTAGAAATATAGTTATATAGTTAAATACTGGAAAATTGGTAATTAATCGCAAATAACGTGTAAATTAATACTAGAATTTTGAATCTTTATACACTTCCAAAAATCTAATTACCTTATTCTCTGGTTTGATTTTATCGAAATATTTTTGCTCATCTGGAGGCGTGCAGCTTTAAATCACTAAAATGTGCAAAAAAGCCCTTACTGGGTAAGTAACGCAGTAGAAATATAGTCATAATATTGAAAACAATCTGTCATTAACAACATATAACAATTCAATAATTACTTGAATCTTTAATATATTTACATTCCTGAAGTCTAAGTTATATTTTTTTCAAGTTTGATTTTATTGAAATATTTGGCATATCTCGAGGCATATCTGGAGGCATGTAACTTTAATGCGAAAACCGCCGTTGCTTCAGTACTTCACACACGAACTCTGCGTAACCTCGTAAAAATGGTCTTAATTACGTGTTATCTGCTAAATCAAGTGTAATATGACCCGAGTAGATTGGAAAATGTCTCAGGTACACCGATTACAAAAAACACATAAAGAAATGTGTACGTTATTGTATTTAAAGATATCGAGAAACTAAAAATCGCCATCAATACGCTAATCAGGTAGACATTTGCATGAATGATCTTAAAAAAACATTTTCATGGAGATATTTTGGATGAGGTCTAAACGCTAATTGTTTTATCCAAATTTGGTGTACAATGAAAAATACTGGTCCATTTAAATATCGCGGTGCTCGTTTTAGCCACTAAATTGTACACTTCTGCGTTACGTTTGCACAATTCCTGCGTTATTTGCACATTCCTGTGTTAAACCCCATTCAGACTGTCTCGGTAATTGTCACGGTATCACTACGTTGTTTTAAACCGATGAACCAGGATGTTCCGTGGTGTTTTTCTGAAAAATCAAATTGTGTTTACACATCCCCGACAGAGGCAAGGTGTATTCTCGGTTCAGTACCTGATATAGCACCGGATATATACGGTAAGTGCCGATACGAACCCGATAAATACCCAGTGGAAACCCGACTAGACACGGTTTCATCACGGTCCATCACGACCATCGCCGATTTCGCCACGGTTTAGCTACCGGTACTGTCCCGGTAATGCGCCGAAGCTTCCCGGTTCAAGTTTATGAGAATAAAACTGCTTCACCTTGTTGACATCGGTCATTTGGTAAAGATGAGATGCTACCCAAAGGAAACGGAAACACAGTTGGGAAAAATTCGCTTACAACGCCTACAAAGGTTGAGGTACCTTTGGAAACGACACAGGGAAGGACAGTAAGGAAAGCTCGCCTCAGATCAAATAGCAGTGACCTTCTTCGTCTTCACTTAGAAAAAAATATCCAAAGTAGCAATTCATGTGTACATATACCTGTTCTTTAAATCACCTGTTATCGGCATGAGATCGTGACGCCACCGTCTATCACCGCTGTATAACCGGGGCTTACCGGCAGTATCCAGGACATTACCGGATCCAACCGGAGCGTTGTCGCCAATAATTGGAATGTAGCCTTGCTCTACCGTAGCTCTGTCTGTCTTACCGTGGCGACATTGTCATTACCGGTCCCTGCCGTGTTTGACATTGGTTAACACGCATCCCGGTTTCTACGATTTGTCACGATATGGTTGTGGTACAGATACGGTGGTTCCCCGGCAAGCCGATAGAACACTGTCCTGGACTTCCTTCCCGGTGAGTGGCGGTGAGCCCCGGTTGTACTAAACATTTTGATACAACCGTGACGATCTCTTTAGGTTCGTGCCGGTTAACCAAGGTTTGTTCCGGTACTTCACGGAATCGCTACGGCCTTACACCGGTTTACCACGATTGATCCCGTTGGACTTAACCGTAAAAAAATCGGGACGCCAAACTGGGACTGTGTAAATGGGGCTTTACTGGATATACACGGTGATGATTAAAGAACAAGTAAATAATAATTGTTACAACAGAAATGATGATAATGGAAATAACCATAAAATAATTACGAAAGTAAAAATATGCAAGTGCTAAGTATGAGAAAGAACATTGAAACAAGAGTCCATCTGATAAATCAGATTGCCAAGTGTTTTGATGTTCTTTTTCTTTTGTATCAAAGTCAAACATAAAAACATGTTCCCTGTTGTCACAATATGAAACCCCAGAAAAAAGTAATTAATGTATGAGCATATGAATATGATATTTCTATCGCTTTCCCTTTCTCTGCCATCACAATAAGTAAACCCCAGCAAAAATGAGCCAATCAGAGGGCATGCTCTGGAGTGCGCACTGTGCATGTATATGTATACCATTTAAATCTGACACTTTTTCAACAGAAAGGTCCCCAAATTATGATACAATAATGTTTTTGTCATGGTATTTCACTGGCTTGTTTCCAGAGTGGTTTCTAACAATTTTACAAAATCGGTTATTCAATATTTATGTATTTGTAAAAGGCATGTCTATTTTTTTAACATGACATGATGATATTGATGAATATCTAACCAATTGTTCAGCATGGCTTGTTTTCTTTCGTGCGTGTGTGTTTCTGAATGAAATTTGTTTAAAACACAGCACTGGTAATGAATAATAGATATGTTTTTCCTATTTCGCTTACTCGTATTATTAACGTTTTTGAATTTTTTATCTGAAAAACAAACAATTAAACATACAGCGTTTATACGGGGATTATTTAAATCCATATTGGGGTTGCGCATGTGCCGGAAAAACAAAAGCAAAAGTTGAATAAACAGACAATGGGTGGATAAAATGTCAGTTTATGTATGACTTATTCCTTCACACTTAATGTCAATGTTATAAAAAGAACGAATAGTCACAGTAGTTTCAGTAAAGCAACGCAGGTTACAAGCAAAAAGTCTATAGTACTTTTCAAAAGATTTGATAGTAGTACATGAGTAACTTTGATGTGTGCCATCATGAAAAGAGCTGATCTTACCATTTTTTTTATTCATTTGATATTTTTTAGTCGGCAGTTTGGCTTTGCTTATGCATTTCTCAAATTTTCCAAAGACGTCGAATTGAGCGGGTATACTTGTCCGTCTGAGCACGTCGTTTTCCGTAATGGGAACGGAATAAGCTTATCACAATGTTTTTTTTTGTGTGTAGAAAGTGGCAATTGTTACGGATTTTTTCATCAAGACGCTGGACAATGTATCGGCTGTGGAGATATGTTTCCGAAGAGCTCCAGCTATCCAACATCCTCTGACACGCTTTTCTATAGAGCTCCTTGGGAAGATATTATTTCAAGTAAGTCTTTATTATTAGATTAAAAACATTATAACCGCCTCCATGGTCGAGGTGTTAGAGTCGATGTCCTGTTACCTCTCTGTGGGTTCGATCCCCAGGAGATGCTTTGGTAGTTTAACGCAGAGGAAGGTAGTCTAGTAATGGTGTTACTCTCCAGGAACGATGGTTAGGAAACTACCCGCCTATATGACTGAAATACTGTTGGGAAAAGGTGTAAAATAAAAAAAAACAAAAAAACAAACAAAACATTATATTATGCAATGGTTTTACCTTTCAAGATAGAGAAACGTCTACTAACCATTCAATAGTTACAATTTTAGATCAATTTGTTACAGTAACGTCAGCGTTGCACGGGGAAGTTAACAGATAACAGTCTGGAGAGAACCATATTATTCTAAGTTTCTATATATTTTGTACACGGTAAACCTGTTGTTTAACACTGATGTAAATAATCATGGAGCTTCATATTTATAAGCATGTATATCTATAAAGAATAACGTTATATAAGGAATTTTCGACCAATCGGGAACTATTTTTTCTTCATCGAGAAGGCTTGAAAATTAATGCGCCTGTCATTTGACAATCTTTACGCTGTGATCTCCCTTTAAATTTTTCGGCGTTAGTTAGCATATAAAGGGAAATATTCACTTCGAGGAGTTTGGACTACTTTCGGTATTTGCACATAAGCACATCAGGGTCTGAAAAACTACCATTATTTGTTTGGTCTGACGACCGAAACAAATTAAAATTACGTTAAAAGGACAACACACATTTGTTTAATCTATTTGAGACGTTGTTTATGCGACGTCATCACAGCAATCGTTTTCTGTCAGGTACGTGACGTTGCTTCAAAAATTTGAAATAGGGGAGATCCTCCAAAAGCAATAAGATGTAAAAGTTCAACATCTTTTACGTCCGTCAGCACTGGCTAAAGCGGTAGTCAATCTTCAACAGAAAATGTGCTTGAATTAATGATCAAGAAGGACCAGAGAAATGTAATAATACTGAATTGAAGAACAGATGAGAGTAATGAATGTTTAAGAAATCATTATCATTCAAAAAAATTAAACATTGGTTTTAGTTTTGTTATTACGTAATAATTACATCATAAAAAGATAGGGTTTTTATCTATGTATTGATTAAGCTGAAATGAGTTTTTAGTATATATTAACAAAAATGAGAGTTGAAAATTAGTTTTTCCATGAAGCTATACCATACCCATGATTGCTATTTGGTAGAAAACGTTTATTCTTTTCCCCAACATCATTAAGTTATTTGTTTATTGCACATCTTTTGAGTTCTGCTTTTACTCTTTCAGAATATGTCTACGTACCAGAAGGAATGACATGGCATCAGGCACAGGTATTTATGATAAAAACATAGAAAACAGTAGAAAGTAGAAAATTCTAATTCCAGATTTTAAAAGCATGTGAATTTAAGATAAAAATGACATGAATTAATGTGACAGGCAGACCATGCGAGCAACAGGAGATTACTTTATTTTTTTTTTTTGGGTAAACACTCATGGAGATACAGGCCAATATTTTTATTTTCAATCCTTTTTTTTTTTTTGTTTTTCATTTATTATCTGTAAATGTCCTCAAATGAAATAAACTAGGCAGTCATAGGAACCAAAACTTTTCACCCTTAAATAAATAAATGGTGGTTTCCTAAATAGACCCACGTGGATCAGGTTAGAGCGTTAAGATTTCACAAATAGGTGTCACAGTGAACTCTGAAAAACGTTTAGGAACATGTCAAATGAATACAATCATCACAATATCCACAATATATTTTATTGTAACATCAAGAGTTTGTTAAAGTCGCTTTGTTTTTAACCTACTCAGTGATTCTGTCGGTATCTAAATTTTGTTCAGCATGGATATTTTAATGCTTCAAATTCAAATTATACTTTAATTTATGCCGAAAGGCATGCTAGGACTTAAAAATGTTGTTTTAGCATGATAAGGAGTACACAAGATCAATTTAAATATTTTTTGTCATTTATTTTCCTGAGTATCTTGTTTTTCTTTGATACGACTAACAAGACAAATATTTAGATAGCTAAATTTAGCATTGACGTACAGTGCAGTAAAAACTAATATGCATTCTAATGATTAAATGCTGTCTTTGGAACTCAGTTATTTAATTGTCTGATATCAAAAGTATTTCTTAGAAGCAGACTGGATTTGCTAATGTTTGAAGCGTTGCCGTCTGTTTTAGATGGTTTGCGATATTTAAATGTTGCCGACAATGCCGATATTCTGGTCTTTAACATAGCGCAAAACTGAATTATCCTAATCTACGTGCGATTCGTTTTGACAGTTTGCATTGAAACAAGAATATAGTTAATCGATGCCGTTGGATTTCTGGATTTCCATTAATTATCCTAGCACGTCTGTCGATATGAAAACATTTTTTTTTTCATTATGATTATGATTGAAACAACTTTTATTATTGTTTCTGTCTATTTGACGCTGTTTCGTTAAAGCCAATAACGCTTTCTGTAACGAAATATTATCTAAGAGTGGTCATTCGTAAATGCTTAAATGAATTATGTCGTTTCCATACTCTTATGATCAATTCTCAAAAGAACTGAAACATAAAATGTCTCTGTTATATATCAAAACATGAAAACTGTACTTAAACAGAATGAAATGTTCAAGAACAATATTCATACATTTAAATTTTGACCATTTTATATATATACGTCTTACATATACGATTTATAGTCTTGAAAATGTATAATAAAGCTATTAATCTGCTGCATATAGTTTTCAAAACTATTGTTTGAAAAAAATGTAAATAAAAGAAATGTGTAAAACTTTCTATATTTCGTATATAATATAATTTTGATAAGAAATATTTGTTTAATGAAATCACAGGACAATTGCAAAGCTAAAGGAGGATCGTTGGTGAAGTTTGGTTCAAATTTAGAAAGGGAGCTTGTGGAAACTAACATCTTACAGGGTTTGTCTATATTGTTTCTCAGGTAAAAGGCGGATTAAGGTTAAATAGTTGTTTGAAAAGATTAATGAATACAAAATAAGGATGTATACATATAACTTTTTTTACGATGTTTTAATTAACCAAGTTAATAAAAATTTCTGTTACACTTGAAATTGTGAACTTGCGTTTGCTTCTATCTAAGATGCTGAAAATTTTTAAATCATGTTCAATTTCAATCTGCTTAGTTTTCTCTTGGTCGACACCGATGTCTGCTAGTTCCATTGTTATATATTATGTTTTTTTCTTCAGGTTTTGGTCATGGTGCAGGGGTATGGATAGGTGCATATGATGACAATATGGACGAGATTTTTCTCTGGTCTGACGGTACCGTTGTCAATGACATTTTCATAAAATGGGGACCTACTGATCCAGACCTTCACGATCATACTGAACATTGTGTAGCATTTTTAAACACAAATGGTATCTGGGCTTCGCATGATTCTTTGTGTAGTAATATTGGCGCAAGCGTTTGCCAACTGGACTAATAAACTAGTTGACATTAAGGACATTTATTTATTTTTAACTTGCATGACATTATTGTTGATGTAAAAAAATAACAATTGTGTGTCAGAGTGATACCATCTCCTTCAATGCTGTAGATTGAACCTCTGGATAGAAAAATTCATAGAACATTGATAGATTTGTCTAGAATCGGAGCAGAGTAAGGCATAGACAACATTTAATTCAACATTTAATGGTTGTACAGCGCTATGAAAGCTTATACATATCATCTCTGTTTCCAGAAATTTAAAGCGGCACGCCTCCAGATGCATGCTAATTTTCATGAAAATTTTGAAAATGTGTTTAAAAGTATTATTCAGTGAAATAACCAAAAAGGAAGCAATTTACACAATATCAATGCCACTTACAATCCACGTAAATTTCTAAAAAGAGGACAAAATATGCAAAAATAGCCCTTACTGCGTTAGTAACGCAGGAGAAATATAGTTAGAAATACTGAAAAATCGGTCATTACTCGCACAAAACAAGTAAATTATTACTAGAACTTTGAATCTTTACACTTTTCCTAAAATCTTAGTACATTTTTCTCAGGTTTGATTTTATTGAAATATTTTCGCTAATCTGGAGGCGTGCAGCTTTAATGAATATTGACAAGTCGTGGTAATTTATTAGCTAAGTAGTATTACAGTCAACAAAAGATTAACATATTATAAATGAAAATACAGAAATAGATAAAAATGCATGGTTTGAATTTTGTTGTAGATATTGTCTTACATTTTTTCAGCATCCAACACTTTTTGAACTCCTTAAACATGTTTCCGTAGTTTTATATTGATGGTGAATTTTCGTTTAATAATGCTCTAATTCATGTGCACTGGCTTGCATCAATTTGTACAACACCAATAAATACCCTTCTCTCTGCATTGGCTACACTATATTTTGTTTGCATTATTTTTTCTTTACCCAATGTAATTTGATAAATATATTAATGTTCACCATGCAATCAATTACCTTATTATCAAGAAGAAATGAACGAATTCAGCAGGTGTCACATTACAATGATTTGTTTTCATGAAATGTCACTGTGTGAGAAACCCTGGACCCTCGGAATACTGTTCCGCGGCTCAACCGACTGAGCTATCCTACCGCTTACACATTATCTCCCCTAAATAGTGAGCGGTATAAATATAACTGACGACCCCTCGTACAAATCAGATAGCCTCGTGTTTCGATGTTCTTTCTCTTTTGTATCATAGTCCAACATAGAAACACGTTCCCTGTTGTCACAATATGAAACCTAGAAAAAGGTAACCAATGAACGAGCATCTGAATATGATATTTCTATCGCTTTCCCTTTCTCTGCATTCACAATAAGTAAACCCCAGTAAAAATGTGTCAATCAATTGGCATTCTCTGGAGTACTTATACCTGATCATCAGTTAATGCACTGTGCATGTACAGGTATACGATTTCCCTATGTCACATGTTCAACAGAAAGGTCCCAAAACCATTATACAAATATAACTTACTAGGCATTAACATTCCTTTGCTTTTTACCTGCAGGTTTATCATTCAAATGAATTCAATGTATATATATGTCAAAGACATGAAGAACATTTTAAGTATGAACAATTTTGCAATTAAAACAAATTCATTACGCATTGTCTTAGATGTATTTTGAAGTTGCATTTTGATAGTGATTAAGAAGATTTACAAAAATTGTTGTAAATTGCCTTGGCAGTAAATAAAAGTTTTTGAATTCTATTTATAATTCTGACACTTTCGGGATTTACCGATGACCACAATAAGGTCACAAAATATAATAAGGGATCTAAATAATAAATACGCTTACACATTATTTGAATTAATTTTAAAAGTTAAACTAGTCAAATGGTTATGCAACTATTAAGTGTGACAAAAATGCGGATCGCTTGTCAAAAACAAACAAACCAAAAAAAAAAAAAAAAAAAAAAAAAAAAAAAAGAAAGAAAAATCAAAACTATTTCTCTACTATTCTAGTATTGACAATGAAAATGATATAAAAACACTTACTGCATAAATATATTATATTTAAAAAAATAAAGATGAAATAATTATACAGATATAAATATGTGAACAAAAATTCATGATAGCCCTTCTTTTTGTCATTGCTTATCAATGCACAAGTTCTAATACATAAGTGCATGAATATCTAATTAAATCGTATATACACATTTAATATAATGTATTTATCTCCCTAATTGAAGAATGATTTTATCTAGCCTGGTTCATGCAAATTTGTGAACAATCAAAGATAGAAAGATTGTAAGTTAAATGGTCAAAAGACACTACCCTTAACTCTGTATCGAGTATAAGCATAGGATCAAAAATGTCACCGTACGCGTGATACTGATGCCATAATAACAGGAACGACTATTTTTAAAAACTCCGATACATTTAATGACGATTCAGAGTAAGTGCATTTAGTTTAAACATATTTATTTCAATATTTTACATATAGTACATTTTATATATATATATATAATTGTTACATAAATTGGAAGGGATTAGAACGAAAGAAAACATATATAGTTCCTCTCCCTAAGTGCATTTGTTACAATTATTTTCAATTTTTTAAACACTTAATGAATTCTATAAACAGCAAATGTTATATTATTCAAGAACAATTCAATTAGTTTAGGCTCATGTTATCGGTTAAATACTTTTTGCATTATAAATAAGTAATAAGAACCAACACTGGAATAGTGAATGGTTGTAACCGTTTAGCAATGGTATTAATGGTATCTTACATGCGCCATTCTCTTTTTAGGCAATTTACTATCATATTTCTTGTATATAGGCATTTGCAAGTATTTGAAACTGAAACAATAATCTTTATTGCAGATATATAGCTTAGTACAGTGTTAAACCCTATTTTATCGAAATTAGCATGTATAGACTGATAAGAAAACTTTATAAGATATATTAGTCTATATTTGTAAAGTGGGTATGCTTTATATATTTGGAATTTCAAAGCTTCCTCTACTTATGTCTACTTATGTTTAACAAATAATTCGGATGTGAAGAAATCATTAATAAGTCAATTTTCTGATTAAAATCTAATTTAAAGATTATTATTGATTGTTCAAAATTGCATTCGGTGTATATTGCCTCGTCTTTGCAAACTGGTTGTTGTGGAGGGGCAAATTACAATCCTAAGGGTATTTTTCTAAAAAAAAATGTAGTGAAACAACATGCACAATATCTATGGAATGGGAGAATATTTCTATAATATTGTTGCTATGCAAGTCTAAGACATTTGGCCATATGGACATAACTTATTTATTTTTGGTTAAGTTAAGATAGACTAGGCAATAATACATTCAAATAGCTAAGTATAAAACATTTAAAGTCTATATTAATTTGATGTCTCAAAGAGTGACGTTGATCTTAATCTGAAGAAGACTAAATCTGTGTTCTGCAGACAGGGTCCAATACTCTTTATTTCATTTGATTGGTTAAAAAGATACAGAGCGGAGACAAAATTGATTACAAACGGACATATTTTAAATACATAAATTCTAAGATATAGGTATTATATAATTTACTTTGCCATGAAGTTATTGCAGAATATTTTAACCTCAACTGTAGTCAGAGAATATCATCCCATCAAATTATCTTGTTGTTTTTCCCCTTAAAATATAAGTAGACATATACATGTACATTTGTATTTATAAACAAAATGCAGTAAAAACACAAATAGTTTTGCTTCGTGTATATTAACATTTCACAAATAAGAAAAACAGAAAGAAAATCTTATTTGAAATCGGTGGTATCCACTTGTGTCTTACTACAAAGAACCTAAACTGAAATAAAAGACGGACATGAAATAAAAGAAAATATGAAAAAGGATAAATAAATTCAGATATTGTATTCATTAACTTACATACTTTCATTCGGTATGTTTCAAAAGTACACTTCTACCGTTTTTTTAAAATATGATATTTAAAACTGAAATATTACTTTCCGGATTTAAATAATGCACAAAAAGAACTTTCAGAGACGAGAATTCTAGGATTGTTTCCAGAAGGTGCGAGTCTGATCTACTAAAATATGTTGTATTGAAAAGGAAATAAATAAAATTTATTTAAAAGCATATGATAATGTTTTAAATACCAATCAACACTGTTGTGTGTTACACGGATACCAATCAGCAAACGGAAATATTTGCATAGAATCTCCCGTGCAATCGCTCTCACGCCCCGTACTACATTTTCTTATCCAATCACGTGTTCCAGATCCGCTTGTCACAGAACACGAACCATAAAACCATTCTGACCAGCTTGGTGTTACTTTTAACAAGAAAAAGGCATGATAATTAAAAAAAAAACACGTATATGTATCGCATATATTAGGGAGCTGGAGTTCCTGAAACCATATAATTTTAAATTCTTGCAGAAATCTGGTCAAACACTTATACTGATCATGTATTGTCATATTAAACATACACGTACTTGTTTAAAAAAGTGAACTAATACGATACATTAATATGAATTTGTTTTCTAGGTATCTTTTTACCTCGGGTTATTGAAACTCGTGTAATTCTACGAGATATATTTTTGACATTTCTGTATGTTTCAATTTCAGTTAAGTGTATAAACTAACATAATTATATATTTTGAAAAAAATATTGTCTGAATGTTAAAAAAATGATTTTTACGAAATGCTGATATGAATTTAATATGGCATGGAAAGCAAAATCATTGTAAAATCAATGTAAAATAACAGAGACATCCTCTATTACATCTCTTCCAAGGATTTGTCATACGATTATGGAACCAATATAAGTTTAAGATTGGCCCTTACAAATGTGACATTTGAATAGGCATTTTTTCTGAAACATGGGTTTCATCACTTCGATCCAGAATTAAAAAACCAGAGCATGCAGTGGAAGCACCCGGCTCATCCCTCCAAAGAAATTCAACAGGGTGCCATCAACAGGGAAGATGATGGCTTAAATATTTGGGATAGTCAGGGGATCATCATAATTGACTATCTTCAGCAGGTCGTTCCATAAACGTTACGTAATATGCAATCGA